TTCATCTTCATAAATTGCTCAGGCATCTTTAATTCGCCCCCTCCTCTGCCTCCCACAGCCTTTGTTCAAGTCTTATTCCACTATTCTGCCGGTGTTGCTCCAGGGCTGGGCTGGATGCCTGAGGCCGAGGTAAATAAGAAACCACTGCTATCCTCAGAGGGGCCCAGCCCTGCGAAGGAGAAAGATGTGTGTCCTAGTAACTATCACTCAATTCTGATACTGGAGGCCTGAAGTGAAGTGGGGGGACAATCTTAGTGTCCAGCTATAGGACTGCTTACGTAAATTGTCTCTACGTGATGGAATATTTTATAGTTGTTCCAAAAGATGAGGGTGGTTTTATGTATTGATATGAAAAGCAATTCATGATTTTATATATAAGTATATATGTATGTGTATGTGTGTATCTATCTATCTATCTTTCCACTATCTACCTATCATCTTCAAGGACTAATAAACCAAACCATTATTAGAGAATATCTAGTGTTTTCATAAGAGACTTTCATTTCTCATTGATGCATTTAAGGATCGTTATAATTCTTCTAACAAGAGTGTATACTGTTAAAATCCATGTTCATTTTTCAACCATTCAACAGGTGTTGTGGGGCACCTACAGTACCAGGCTTTGCTCCTGGGCACTGGGGACACAGTGAATTCACACAGGGGACAAAATCCCTGCCTGTTCATCAGGTGAGCACTGAATACACTGCAGGCAGGAATGAGTGGCGTGCAGGGGTGGAGAGAGACTTGGCAGGAGGAAGGGCTGCGATAAGAGGATGCTCAAGGAAGGCTTCCCTGGGGCGGTGACATTTGAACCGAAACCTGAATGATGAGGAGGGACCATCTGTGCGGAGAGCTGAGAATAACAGTGTTCCAGAGGCAGAGAATAACAAGTGCAAAGGTCCTGAGGCACACACTCGTTTGGCTGACTCAAAGAACAGTCAGGATCTGGGGGAGCTGGAGTGTGGTGACGGACGGGAGAGTACAGGAGATGAGACCCAGAAGTTCGGGGCCAGATCCCACAGACTTCATAGGCCGCGGTGAGAATGTTTGCTTTTTCTCTGAGTGAGATAGAAGCCAAGGGGGGGCTTTAAACAGGGATTCACATGAGATGACTTATGCTTTAAAAAGATCATTCTGGCACAAGTGAATCGGGGGGCAAGAATGGAAGGAGGTAAGCAGTAAAGAGATTGTGGCAGGAATCCAAATGAAAAATGGATGTGGTTTAGGCTAGTATAAAACAAAAAGATATTTCCCATGTGAAGCACAAAACTACAATGGTCAGGCACAAACGAAGAAAAATGCGGGCCATGGTAAAAATACCGATGACAGACAAATATTTTTCCAGGGGACAGGGGCGGGAAGCAAGGGGCAAGAGGGTGTTGGAGAAAATGGCAAAGAGGGGCACTGTTTTTGAAGGGTCTTGAAAGCATGACTGTGGCTAGCCAGGTGGAAGGAGGTCAAGGAGAGAAGGGGAGCACTAGTCTGAGAACACGCTGAACTCGGCTCAGAGGTCTTGGTGAAGGAGGAAGGGGAAGAATCACACATCACACACGCTCACACGCACACACACGCGCACACGCATCCATGCATCCGTGCACAAACAGGTGTGTGCGCGCATCCATGTGTCTGTGCGCATGCCCACAGATCCGTGCACACTTGCACATGGACACGCACCGCGCATCTCTGCCTATGCACACACACCCCCATGCATCGATGCACATGCACACACTCTGACCTGTACACACACTCTCACAGCAATACCCGCTCGTACATACACACACTGGCCCTCGACCACACACACACACACACACACACACACACACACACACACTCACTCACTCACTCACTCACTCACAGAGTCTTGGAAGGCCTAGCTTTTCAGCCGAAGAACCAGGCATTTAAGAGCCCAACCGCTCAGGTTCAAAACCCAGCGTCTTAACTGTATGACTCAGGCAAGCCAATGAACTCTCTACGCCTCAGTTTCCTCACCTGTAAAATGAGGACTAAAAGGAGCCAATGTAGGGGCGCCCGGGTGGTTCAGTTGGTTAGGGGTCTGCCTTCAGTTCAGTTCATGATCCCAGAGTGCTGGGATCAAGCCCCGCATTGGGCTCCCTGCTCAGCGGCTAGTCCGCTTCTCCCTCTGTGATCTCTCTCACTTTCACTCTCTCTCAAATAAATAAATAATATCTTTTAAATAAATTTACAAAAAAAAACAAATAAAATGAGCCAATGTGCGTAAAGCCCTCAGAACAGTGCCTGGCACCCAGTAAGCACCACATGAAGCTGGTTAGCTTGAGTGCCATGATTATTACCATGTCTGGCAGACCGGAAGGTAAGTCACCGAGGGAGCGGGCGCAGGGACAAGAAGGCAGGAGAGGAGTGTGCTTTGGGAGAGAACACACCTGGGCTCAAACACCAGTCCCAGACTCCCAGTGTGGCCTCGAACCACACACTCCATCTCCGCGACCAGGGGTCCTTGTCTGTGAGACAGACCGTCACGGTGAGAGGCGAGCATGGGGATGGACCCTTGAGCACCACATTCCTGCAGGCCTCTGCGGAGGGCCAGGTCGGGGGGCTGCGCGACAAACCCCGCCGAACAAACCCCGCCGATCCAAGAGACAGCTGAAGCGCTTGACAGGCAGTGAGTACGCGAACACCGTCCTGCCACTTGGCGGCAAAGCCAGCACACTCAGCCTCCTTGTAAACATTTTTATATACACAGCCAGAAGATCCGTGGCGTGGCCGCCAAGCCCCGAAAGAAAAATCACGAGGCCAGTAAAACACAAAGATACAATCTCTCTGGGGCCCTCGGTCCTCATAAAAGAAGCAGGAATAAAGGTCAAATGTCTCCAGGAGAAAGACGAGCATCCCACATGCTGCTGTACACGGACACATGCGTACACACGCCACACACGCTCACGCATGTGCACACACACAGCCATGCATGCCCACGCTCCGACACACACACGTACAGGCTCAGCCGGGCACACAAGCACATGCACGCTCACAGGGGCACACGCGTGTACATGCTCAGCCACGGGTGTGTGTGCCTGCACCTAGTCGCGGGAGCAGCTGCTCGTGCATGCATATGCTCACCCTCCACCCGACACACACACACACTGATGTGTGCACACACAGGCCGTGCTTCCCGGAAGCCAGAGGTGGAACACAGGCAGCCCCCGGGCTCCAAGGTCTTGGGGGTTATGCGCTGAGCACTGGCGAGGGGCTGCCTCCAGTTTCGGGCTTGTAAGACGCGGGACAACGGAGGGGTCTGAAGCCTGGGCTCTGCCCCGCATGAGAAGGGACACTTAGGTGGCTCCATGTCTGTAAGGCTCAGATTCCTCATCCGGCAGTGGGCTGAGTTGTGGGGGGGGCTTCTCAGTTAATGCCTGGGAACACAGTGCGGGCACGTATTAGCACTAGGATTCCTAGCGCTTCTTGACCTCTGCTTAGAAGCTGAGGCCCCAGTGCTCAGCTCAAAACTTCAGGGGTGGTCACCTGTAGCAGCCAAATGGGGCACGGTCGCTGGGAAGCCAGGGAGGAAACTGAGGAGGCAGCCCCCACTGCTGAAAGCCTGCTCAGCGGGGGGTGGCTGGGCCTTTTCCTGTGCCTGGGGGTCCCTGTCTCATGGGCTGCCACTTGGCCGGAGCTCACCAAGGGGACAGTGTCTGCGAGGCAGGAACATCACCAGCCTCCATGACACATGGCCCCTTCGCCCACGCCCCCTCTGTCAACACCCGAGATGGGTCAGAGACCAGACCTCTGGTCCCTGACCCTCCAGACACTGACTGCAGGGAAGCCACGAGCCCGGCCCCACCAGCAGGGGGCGTGAGTGGCCCCAAGCCCTGGACTTCAGCATTTCTCCTGAGCCTCCGAGATCCCCCTTGTTGGGACAGTTTCTAGGACTGGACTTCTGCCTCAGTTTCCCCACCCTGGCACCCAGAACCAGAGCCCTCTCCTAGTCTCCAGGCTGTCTGAAGACACCAGCACACCTGCTCTCTCCTGGCTGCCCTCCTCCTTGGCGGCAGGGGGTAGGCGGGTCGGGAGGCGGCCAAGCCCCTGTGTTCCTTTGGCAGCACATCCTCCAGCATCTGCTCTCTTGCTCTCCCATAATAATAAAGCCCCTGACTTAGCTGAGTACACACAGTTGCCGGGACAACAACCTCATTTCCCAGCCTCCCTTGCAGCTGGGATCAAGTTCTGGCCAAGGAGACATGAGCAGGTGCTGTGGGCAACTTCTAGAAACCTTGGAGTTGACACGCAAGCTTTGCCCTTTCTCTTTTGCCCCCTCTAAGCTGCTGCCCGGAAGGCAGGTGTGACAGCTGGAGCACCAGCCGCCGTCTTAGACCATGAAGACAAAAGCACAGAGATGATGGAAAGGGGCAGCAAGGTTCTGGAGTGGAGCCACCCTGGACTGGCTGCTTTCAAATTTTTATAAAAGCAGTGCATATTTCTCCTCTGAAGCTGGCTATTTTGGACCACCATTCCTTACAGCTAAACCTAATCGCTGTGCTCACCCCACACTCGAGCTGGGGCCAGCCCCTGACCATCCTATCTGAGCATCACTGGGGGTCAGAATCTCTGCTCTTGGGCCCTGTGCACCAGGGAGTGACAGACACGGGAATCTGGTTTCCCGCCCCACCCCCCAGGTCAAATCCTGCAGCTGGGATGCAGTGCCCCCAACACTGGTCTAGCCTGACCCCAACTTCCGCACATCCGTCCTACCTCTCCCCAAATCCTGGTGCACACTGGAAGTATGAAAGCGTAATGACTCTCAGGACCGCCCCACTCGGGGGGAGGACAGGATGATCCTCCATCTGCCTCTCTCCCCTTCCCAACTGCTCAAGAAACTCGGAGCTTGGCAGGATTATGGCTCTCTGGGGAGCCATCGCCCAGGGATGCCGCTGGAAGAACCCTCGTGGGGCTGAGGGAAGCCACCTGGGCAGGAACTGTCTCTGAAGGGCATTGGGCTTGCACACCTGAGGGGGGGCCACACTTACCCTTCTCCGATGCCGGGGCCAGGTCAATGAAGCTGCGACATTTTTCACCTTCGAAAAGAAAAGAAGGGTTTTCAGAATGTGAGAGGAAGTGAGAGCTTCAGGCTTTCGCCTCTCCCCTTCCCTGAGCCTCGTCACTGAGCAGGGAGTGGGGCCCCGAGCATCTCTAGCCCTTATTCCTGGAAACTCAATGTCCCCAAGGAAATTGTGGACAGTGAATCTGAAAACTCAGCTAAACTGCACGAGGGATGTCGCCTCTGCGCTCACCCCCTTTCCAACCCATCCAGCCACGTGGCTCGCACCTGTCCAAGCCCCGGGCCCCTTCCACAGCCCCCACTCCATCCAGACCCAGCAGGATAAGGGCAACCCCTCGCTGGGCTCCCCAGGCCTCCACACTGTCCCCGCCAGAGGGATGCTCTCAGGACACACGCTCTGATCGCATCACACATGCACCCAGGCATATACACTCCTGCTCAAACCCTCTGATGACCTTCCAAAGAATGAAGCCCAAGTTCCTTCATGGGGATCCCTGCACTCAGCCCCAACACTCCACCAGGAGGCCTCACACATGCTGTTCCCCCTGTCGGGGACACACTTCCCCTATTACGAGCTCTCACAGCATGCTGACCCTCTCCGACACCAGTCACCTTACAATTCCACTTTTTGCATATGATTCTTGGATGGATGGCCCACAAGTTGTAAATGCCATGAGGGCGCGCCCCGTATTCTCAGTGTGTTCCCAGCTTGGGAAATGGCAACTCCATCCTCCCGGGTGCTCAGGCCAAAACCTTGGTGTCAACCTTGATTTCTCTCTTTGTCTCACACGTCCACATCTGATCTGTGGCTCTTGCTTGGTGGTATATCTAGAATCCGACCACTTCTCACCCCCTCCATGGCTCCAGCCACCATCTCCCACCTACATTATGGTGGTAGCCTCTGCCTGGGTCTCCCTGCTTCTGCCCTTCTCCACACAGTGGGCAGAGGATGCTGTTATAACCTATGAAGGATTATTATGTCCTTCTCTGCTCAGAACCCTCCGAGTGAGAACCCCAGTCCTCCCAGTGGCCGACAAGGCCATCACCTCCCTGACCTTATCTCCTATTGGCTTCCCCCTCACTCACTTGGCCCCAGCCATACTGGCCTCCTTGCTGATCCTTAAATGTGCCAGGTATACCCCTACCTCAGGGCTTTTGCACATCCTGCCACTTCTACCTGAAGCATTTTTCTTTCAGAGAGCTGAATGGTTTACCCTTCCTCTTTCTTATCACCTTCCTCAAAAGTTACCTTCTCAGGGAGGCCTTTCCTGGCTAATCTATTTAATATTCCAAAGGTCCCTCCCCTGACTGCCCATCTCTCTTCCTGCTGGACCCCTACTGCCTGAAACAGTGTCTGGTACATAGTGAATGCATAATACATATTTGTTGAAGGAGTGTATCAATGAATAAACAAAAGGATGACTAGACAAAGAGATGAGCGAATGAATGAATGAATGAATGTCTTACACCCAAACTTTAGGTGTAAAGTTTACGAAACTGCAACTTTTCAGTCTCTTCTAGAGCCTCCTTGACACTGGGCACTGGGCTGACCACCAAGGACACAGTGATGAGCAAGATGGCCCAGCCTCCAGGCCCTGTGTCAAAGGTAGCACACACAGGATCCTGACAGAGGAAAAATGTTGCCTACAAATCCAGCTGAAGAACCAGAAGAGCTGACTATGCTGGGCCCACAGCCCACACAGCAACAATCAAATGGGCCAGGCAGATACCGCCCCCTTCAGATGGGGGACGAGCCCTGGAGTCAGCCACAGTCCCCGCCCCTCACTGCTGCTCTCCCTCCAGCCTCACGGAAGCCACCCAGACAGCCCCTGGGACACTAGGTCGGATGACCTTTAGGGTCAGCTTGCCACCCTGGGTTTAAGGATTTTACTGCTAATCCCAGCAAGGATATAGATTCTGTGTCAAAATGGAACCAGTGTGAGTTGGGGGGTGAAAGAGACCTGGAAGCTTCTAACATTCTCAATTCATGTGTCTGCTTGAAGCTTCCTAAGCTCTCTAAGAAGGTCCCTGGAAGCCCCTTTGGTATCCTGAACGTCCTTCCAGCCCCATTTAAATGCAGTCAGACAAGGGGTGGGCTGGCCGATGAGGCTGAGAAGGAAGGCAGGAGACAGATCACAAAGGGTCTTGAGTGCTAAGCTAAGGAGTGGACTCGTGACTTATTCACATCACCCCTCCCAAAGAATCATGAGGCCACAGGTGGCTGGTTGGGGCTCCTGTGGCTTCCTCCCCAGGCTCTATAGAGCTGAGATGCAGGACCCTCAACTCCTTTCACAGATGAAGAAAATAAGGCTCAGGGCCACTGAATGACTAACCAGGACCACGCAGCAAGTCAGAGGTACCAAGATTAGAACCCACTGAAAGAGATGTTTGCTGACAGCCAAGAACTGGAAAGGAGGATAAAAACGTAAGAATTGATGGCGTGCTAGAATGGAGGGATTTGAATGAATTGGTTCGAACTTTCTTTAATGTTATTTTGTTTTCTCAAAATCTGGAGAGAGAAAACATTAATGGTCAAATTCACACCAACACCCAGGGCCACGTTCAGACTTTGTGGATCTGAACGCTTTGGCCTGTTGGGATCCTTCCCAAATTAAAAAAAAAAAAAAATTAATTAAAAATTATATTTTATACTTGCTTGGCTAAAGACAAATATATTAGCATTGTATGTAAAAATTTTTCTTCAGGTGGCGCCTGGGTGGCTCAGTCATTAAGCGTCTGCCTTAGGCTCAGGTCATGGTCCTGGGATCGAGCCCCGCATCGGGCTCCCTGCTCCGCGGGAAGCCTGCTTCTCCCTCTCCCACTCCCCCTGCTTGTGTTCCCTCTCTCACCGTGTCTCTCTCTGTCAAATAAATAAACAAAATCTTTTTTAAAAAAAATAAAAAATAAAAAAATAGAATTTTTCTTTGCCTAGAAGTTTATCTTTTTCTTCTGATTTTAAAAGAAATGAAAACTTTTGTTTGGGTCCATGAGAGCATTGTGGCCCTTGGCTCCATGACCCCGGATGGGAGGGAGAAGGGGGCCCTACAGCTCTGGTCTCCCAGCTCCACATCAATGTCTTCCCACCGCCACTGGACTCCCGATAATACGTAAGACTGATGTGCTAAGCATTTTGCCGTCTCTTCTTTAACAGTTTTACTGAGCTATGATTCACATGCCATATAATTCACCAATGTAAAGTACACAATTCAAAGGTGTTTAGTGTATTCTTAGTATATTCACAAGATTGTGTGACCATCACCACAATCAATTTTGGAACACATTCATTACCCCAAAAAGAAACGCCATACCTATTATGGGTCAGTCCCATTTCTCGCAATCCTCCAGGCACTGGGTGACCACTGATCTATTTTCCCTCTCTACAGATTTGCCTATTCTGGACATTTCACATAAGTGGAATTATACAATAGGTGCCCTTTTGTGTCTGGCTTCTTTGAGCATGATGTTTTCACATGAATCAGTGATTTGTTCCTTTTTTAAGGCTGAATAATATTCCATCATATGGATACATCCCATTGTGTTTATCTTTATTGGTTAATGGACTTGGGGTTTGTTTCCACTTTTTGGCCATTGATGAACGAGATTCATGTACAAGATTCTGTGGGGACAAGTTTTCATTTCTCTTAAGTATATACCTAGGAGTGGAAATGCTAGGTCATGTGGAAACTCTATATTTAGCCTTTTGGGGAGCTAGTTGACTATTTTCCAAAGTAGGTGCAGCATTTTACATTCCCACTAGCAATGTATAAGGGTTCCAATTTCTCCACATCTTTGTCAACACTTGTTACTCTTTTTTCATATTAAAGGCATCCTTCCAGGTGGGAAGTGGTATCTCATTGTGGCTTTGATTTGCATGGCTCTGATGACTAGTGATGTGAAGCACATGTGCTTCTTCACCATTTGCATGTCATCTTTGGAGAAATGTCTATTCAGATCCTTTGCCCATTTTTAATTGGATTATTTTATCATTTTATTACTGAGTTCTAAGAGTTCTTCTTATATTCTGCATACATACACCTTATCAGATATCCAACTTGCAAGAATTTTGTCCCATTCTGTGAATAGTCTTTCCACTTCCTTGATGGTGTCCTTTGAAGTGCAAGAGTTTTAAATTTTGATGAAGAAGCCCAATTTATCTATTTCTCTTTTGTTGCTCATGTTTCTGTGTCATATCTCAGAAGACTTTGCCTGACCCAACATCATGAAGATTTCTTCTTTCTTCTAAGAGTTTTATCATTTTAACTCATAGCTTTGGGTCTGTTATCTATTTGATGTTGACTTATGTATATGGTGTACAAAAGGTGTCCAACTCCATTCTTTTGCATGTGGATATCCAGTTGTCCCAGCCCCATTTGTTGAAAGGCTGTTCTTTCCCCCATTGAATTGTCTTGGCACCCTTGTCAAAAATTAATTGACTATAAATGGGAGGGTTTATTTTGTTCTCTCAATTCTATTCCATTGATCTATATATCTATCCTTATACCAGTACCACACTGTTTTTGATTACTTGTAGCCTTATAGTAAGTTTTGAAATTGAGTAAGTCCTCCAACTTTGCTTTTGGCTATTCTGGGTCCCTTGCATTTCTATATATGAATTTTATTTTTTTAAGATTTACTTATTTATTTTAGAGGGGGGAGGGACAGAGGGAGAGAGGGAGAGGGAGAGAATCTCCAGCAGACTCCCTGCTGAGCACAGAGCCTGATGTGGGGCTCGGTCCCAGGACCCTGAGATCATGACCTGAGCAGAAATCAAAAGTCAGACACTTAACTGACTGAGCCATCCAGCCACCCCTCTATATGGATTTTAAAATCAACTTGTCATTTTCTGGGGGAAAAAAAAGCTAGTTGGATTTTTCTTTTAAGATTTTTATTTTTAAGTAATCTCTACACCCAACATGGGGCTTGAACTTACAACCCAGAGATCAAGAATTGCATTCTCTACTGACTGAGCCAGCCAGGCACCCCGCCAGTTAGAATTTTAATAGGGACTGCACTGAA